ATAATGATGATAATGATGAAGAAAATAATGATAATAATGATGAAGAAAATAATGATAATAATGATGAAGAAAATAATGATAATGATAATAAAAACGAGTGTGGAAATCTAATGAAATTTACGAAAATAGAATGAGAGAAATGAAAGGAAATCAAACAAAATTGAATAAAAAATCAAAGATCGAAAGTAAAGAAAAGAAAATAAAGTAAAGTAAATGTCAAAGGAAAAAAAAAAGAAAAATAGACAAAAAATGTAAAACGACACAGACTAAAAGAAAGTAAAAGAGGCAGGTATGTGGGTCTGAGGGGGGGGGGGATCAGGTATGGTGGGGGGGGGGCAGGGGAGGGAGTAAGAGGGAAGGGAGGGAGGTAGACAGAGGGGGGAAATGCAGAAAGGAAGAGAGGAAGGCAAGAGAGAGAAAAAAAAAAAAAAAAAAAAAATAAAAAAGACAAAATAAGAAAAAAAGAGAGAGACAAAGAGAGATAAAACCTTATAAAAAGAGAAGGGAAAGAGAAGAGAGGAGAGAGAATACCCACTCGGCTCTGCACGCGATGCACGTAATGGGATCCACAAGATGCTAACAAGACGGTTCCTTTGGCGTTTATTTTGAGCTTCGCGCGAGACGAGGGGGGCGGCGGCGGCCATCTTCTCGCGGCCTCTTCTTTTCGTTCTTTCTGTCTTCTTTTTCGTCTCTTTTCTATCTTTCTTTTTTCTTCTTCTTCTTTTTCGTCTTTTTTCTATCTTTCTGTCTTTCTTTCTTCTTTTTCATCTTCTTTCTTTCTTTCCTTCTTCTTTTTCGTCTTTTTTCTTTCTTTCTTTTTCTTCTTTCGTCTTCTTTCTTTCTTTCCTTCTTCTTTTTCGTCTTTTTTCTATCTTTCTTTTTTCTTCTTCTTCTTCCTCTTTTTTCTTTATTTTTTTTCTTTCTGCTTGTTCTTCTTCTTTCTTTCTTCTTGTTGTTCTCTTCTGTCTTTTCTTTCTTTCTATCTTTCTTTTTTCTTCTTTCTTTCTTTCTTCTTCTTTTTCGTCTTTTTCTTTTCTTTCTTCCTTCATGTTCTTCTTCTTCTTTCTTTCTTTCTTTTCTTTCTTTCTTTTTTTCTTTCTTCCTTTCTTCTTCTTCTCTTTTTCTTCTTTCTTTCTTTCTTTCTTCTTCTTCTTCTTCTTCTCGCCTTTATCTTATTTTTTTCTTTTTTCTTTCTTTCTTTTTTCTTCTTCTTTCTTTCTTTCTCTTTTCTTTTTCTTCTTCTTTGTTTGTTTTTCATTATATTTTTCTTCTGCTTTCTTTCTTTCTTCTTATTCTTCATTTATTCTTTCTTCCTCTTCTGTTTCTCTTTTTCTCCATCCTCTTTTTTTCTTCTTCGCCTTATTGTTGCTGTTATTATTATATTGTTATTATTCTTATTCTTGTTCTTATTCTTATTATCATTATTATCGTTATTATAATTATTATCGTTATTATCATTATTATTACTTCCTCACCTCTTCTTCTTCTTTCTCTCTCTTCTTCCCCTTTCTTCCTTTTTCCCTTCTCTTTCTTAGGCCTCTTACCCTTACTCCTTCCTTTCCGTCACCTTCAGTTTCTTCAAAAGTCACTCTCTCTTATTCTCGCACCTTCATTGTCTTAATTATCACCTTCTCCTCCTCTTCCTTAATCTTTACCTCCTCCTCCTCCTCCGTCACCTGAACCATCACCCCCTCCGCCTTCTCTTCTTGTTATCTTTTTCTTCTTGTACTTCTACTCCTTTTTATTTTTTACTTCTTCTTCTTCTTCTTCTTCTTCTAATTCTGAGAGAGGAGAGAGAGAGAGAGAGAGAGAGAAGAGAGAGAGAGAGAGAGAGAGAGAGAGAGAGAGAGAGAGAGAGAGAGAGAGAGAGACAGAAAGACAGACAGTAAGAAAGAAAGAAAGAAAGAAAAAAGACAGAAAAGGCGAAAACGCAAGCGAAAGAAAAAGAAAACGAAACAGAGATTAAAAAAAAAAAACGAAAAAAAAAAACGAAAAGCAAGAGAGAAAAAGAGAGAAAGAAAAAGGGAGAGAGGGAGAGGGGGGGGGGGGTAGGAGAGGGGTACCAACATCTTCAATCACGTGTTACTCAAAATAAACAACAGGAGAGGAGAGCCGCTACTCTTTCGATCTGGCCCGGGGTTCGCGAGGCTGCTCTGCCAAGTCGGTGCATTTGAGGCGATGCTTGGCATTTGCGGAGAGAGATGGAAGGAGGGAATGGGAGGGAAGGGAGGGAAGGGGAGGGAATGGGAGGGAATGGGGAAGGGAGGGAAGGGAGGGAAGGGAGGGAGGGAGGAAGGGGGGAAGGGAAGGGAGGGAGGGAAGGGAGGGAAGGGAAGGATGGGAAAGGGGGAAGGGAGGGAGGGAAGGGGGGGATAGAAGGGGGAGGAGGGAGGGAGGGGTGGATAGAAGGGAGGAAGGAGGAAATGGAGGGAGGGAAGGAGGGAAGGAAGGAGGGGGGGGAAGGGAAGGAGGGAAGGAAGGGGGGAATGGGAGGGAAAGGAGGAAGGAAGGGAGGATAGAAGGGAAGGAGGGGGAAGGGGGGGGACATCGAAGAGAAGGAAGAGAATGGAGGAAGGGAAGGGCCAAGAAGGGAAGGAGGGAGGGAAAGGGAGGGGGAATGGAGGGAGGGAAGGGGAGATAGTAGGGAAAGGAGGGAGGGAAGGGGGGCATAGAAGGAAGGAAGGAAGAAAAGGAAAATAGGAAAGGGGAAGGAAGGAGAAGGAAGGAGGAAAAAGGAGATAGGAAGAGGGAAAGGAGGGAGGGAATGGGAGGAAAAGGAGAGAATGGGAGGATAAGGAAGGACGGAGAAAAGGAGGGATGGAGGGAGAGAAGGCAGGAAGGAGACAAGAACTGGACAGCGGAGATGGAGGAGAAACAGGAAAAAGGAGTAGAGGGAAAAGTGAAGAAAAGTGAATTGAAGAAAAGAAAAATATTTATCAAAGAAAGGAATGATGGCAGGAAGGAAGAAAAAATGAAAAAATGAATGAATGAATGAATGAAGGGAGAAAGCAATGAGGAAAGAAGGTAGCGAGTGACAAGAATATGTAAATTCATTGGGTGTGTATAAGGGAAGGGTGGGGGGGGTATTAAGGGAGGGGGGAAAGGGTGTTTGGGAGGGGGCGGGGAGGGGCGGAGGGAGGGAGGGGTATGAGCAAATAGACACAGCACCTGGGAGACCTTCGACAATGATGATGAAGTTAAAACACAGCCAACAAATGAGACGTAAAGGGGGTGGCGTCTGGCAAGGGGGGGGGGGGGGAGGTGGAGGGGTATTTAACGTTGAGGATTTGTGATGGGAAGGGGGCGAGAGGGATTGGAGGGGAGGGAGGTGGGGGGGGCGAGGGGAGGGAGATTGAAAAGGGAGGAGGCGAGGGAGAGGAAAGAGGGGGAGAGAGGGAGGGAGAGAGAGAGAGAAAGGAGGGAGAGAGAAGAGAGGGGGAGGGAAGGAGAGAGGGAGAGAGGGAAGAAGGGAGAGAGGGAGAGAGGGAGAGAGGGAGAAGAGGGAGAACAGAAGTACAGACAGACAGACAGAGAGAGAGAGAGAGAAGAGAGAGAGAGAGAAAGAGGAGAGAGAGAGAGAGAGAGAGAGAAGAGAGAGAGGAGAGAGAGAGAGTGGGGGGGGGGGGGAAGGGAGAGAGGAGGGGTGGATGATGGTAAATAAGCGAATGAACTAAATAATTGATTGAAATATGTAAGTAAGGATTTGATCATAAATCATATTTACTCACTCTCTCTCTCTCTTCTCCACCTCCCCCCTCCTTCTCCTTTTCCCTCTCTCCTCTCCCTCTCACCTCCCCTCCCTTCGTCCCCTCTCTCCTCCCTCCCTCTCGTCTTCCCCACAAGCTTAATACACATAGAAAAAAACCCGACGTGATTGCGCATAATTGTCCACTGAAGTCATCCCGCCTCAATGACACATGAATCACAGAAGCGTCATTTGAAACAGCACCCCAATCTTCAGTGTAAATACTCCCCTCTCCCCCCCCCCTCTCCCCTCTCCCCCCCCCTCTCTCTCCCCTCGCTCTCTCCACCCCTCCCTCTCTCTCTCCTCCTCTCTCCGCCCTCTCCCCCTCTCTCCCTCCCCCCTGCCCTCCCCCCTCCCCTTCCCTCTCCCCCTGCTCTCCCCCTTACCCCTCCCCCTCCCCCCACTCACACAAGCTTTAGCTGATCATCATCTTGTCTGTTTGATTTGTTATGATCGTGATGCACGTCACGTCACTTGTAATATCTTGGGGCGATTTGGTCTTTCAATGACCTCGTCTCTTAAGGAGCGGGGATTGTCGCCTCAGAATCACTTCTTCCTTGGGTTTATATGATGTTAATTGTTATTTATATATATATATATATATTATATATATATATATATATATATATATATATATATATATATAATATATATATATATATTTATTTATTTATTTATTTATTTATATAATTGATTAATTAATTAATTGTTTGTTTGTTTATTTGTTTATTTATTTGTTTGTTTAATTTATTTCTTTATTTCTACTTATTTATTTATTTATTTATTTATTTTTATTTTTCTATTTTATTTATTTTTTACTCTTCAGATGATAGGTTTATATGTTAACGTGGAATGACATCGTTTTATTACCATTCATTGGGTATTGTTATTGTTATTAATCATCGTTATTTTCATTAGTATGACTATGCTTGTTGTTATTGTTATTATTAGCAGTTAATGGTTTACTTTTTAATTTATCAATTATTATTATTATTATTATTATTATTAATTTATTGTTATTATATCATTATTATTATTATTATTATTATTATTATTATTATTATTATTATTATTATTATTATTATTATTATTATTATATATTATTATTATTTATCATTATTTATTATTATTATTATTATCATTATCATCATCATCATTTGTTATGTCATCATCATTATCCATATCACTGTTATTATTCTTTATCCACCACCACGCACCTCTTCCTCAACTTATCTCCTTATCTCTCCACTTCCAGATCTGAGTAACGGGAGAAGACGCAGGGCTGTAGATTCCCACGGCCACGAGGTGAGTGGAGGTCAACGGGGAAGGAAAATGGTGGATTTGTCCTGAAAGTGTATGGTAGACGGAAGGAAATAGGTGTCCTGAAATGTGATGATAAGGTAAGGTGTGATTAGGATGAGGAAATGGATGGTTTGTCCTGAAATGTATGATAAGGGGAAGGAAAAATTTGTCCTGGAAGTGTATGGTAGACGGAAGGAAAATAGGTGTGATTAGGATGAGGAAAATGGATGGTTTGTCCTGAAAATGTATGATAAGGGGAAGGAAAATGGGTGATTTGTCCCGAAAGTGTATGGTAGACGGAAGGAAAATAGGTGTGATTCGGATAAGGAAAATGGATGATTTGTCTTCAAAATAGGTCTTCAAAATAGGTGATTAAGGATGGAATTTGTCCCAAAATATGTTATTAGGATAAGGAAAATGGGTGATTTGTCCTCAAAAATGTTATTAGGATAAGGAAAATGGATGATTTGTCCTCAAAATGTATGATAGACGGAAGGAAAATAGATGTGATTAGGATAAGGAAAATGGATGGTTTGTCCTGAAAATGTATGATAAGGGGAAGGAAAATGGGTGAGGAAATGATAATTTGTCCTCAAAATGTATGATAGACGGAAGGAAAATGATGATTTGTCAAAATATGTGATTAGGATAAGGAAAATGGATGAAATGTATGATAACGGAAGAAAATAATGATTGTCAAAATATGTGATTAGGATAAGGAAAATCGATGATTTGTCTTCAAAATAGGTGATTAGGATAAGGAAAATGGATGATTTGTCCTGAAGGTGTATGATAAGGGGAAGGAAAATGATGATTTGTCCTCTAAATATATAATAAGCGGGAGAGTTATAATCAGAATATATGATATGGGGGAAAATAAGATTTATCCTCAACATGTATGATGAGCGGAAGGAAAATTATTTATCCTCAAAATATTTGATAACCGTAATCGAATATTTATGCTTTATCCTTAATATATATGATAAGCGTAAGAAAATAGATTATTTATCCTCAAAATATTTGATAGGAATAGAATTATCCATCCTCAAAATATATGATAAACGGGGAAAAATATATGATAAGGGAAAATATATGAATTATCCTCAAAGTATATGACAAGGGTAAAAAAAATATATAATTTATCCTCAAAATGTATGACGAGTGGGAGGAAAATGGATGATTTATCCTTTAAATATAAGATAAGCAAAAAAAAAAAAAAAAAAAAAAAAAAATCATCAATATACATGATAAGCGGAAGGAAATAAATTATTTATCCTCAAAATATTTGACAGGCGGAACGAAAAAAAAAAATTATCCTCCAAATGTATAATAGGCGAAAAAAAAATATATGTATATATTCTCAAAATATATGATGAGCGGAAGTAAATAAATCATTAATCCGTAAAATGTAGGATAAACGGAAGAAAAATAGATTATTAATCCTTCTCCTTTATTCTTCTCCTCCTCCTTCGGCAATTAGTTGAAGTTGGCGACAACACGGTGTTTATGTCGTTTTTAAGTTTCTTCGATGATAACACGGTGTCATAGAATATAAATAGATAAATAAATAGATAGATAGATAGATAGATAGATAGATAGATAGATAGATAGATAGATATAGATACCGATAATGCAATAATGATAATGATAATATTGATGATAACAATTTTAAGTGTCATCGACGATAAGACGGTGTCATAGATAGATAGATGTAGATATACAGATAATGTAATAATAATAATGATAATAGTAATATTGATAATGATAATAAGTTGTTGGAGATTGCGAGAATACGATGTCATAGAAAATAGATAGATAGATAAATAGATAAAAGATAATGTAATAATAACAGTGATAATAATAATATTGATAATAATAATGATAATAAGTTGTTGGAGATTTCGAGAATACGGTGTCATAGAAAATAAATAGATAGAAAAGATAATGTAATAATGACAATGATGATAATAATATTGATCATAATAACAATGATAAATGTTTGTATGTTTTTTTTTTTTTTTTTTTTTTTTTTTTTTTTTTTTTTTTTTTTTTTTTTTTTTTTTTTTTTTTTGCTTCTCCAACGACAAGGTGATTCAGATTGAAACAACGCGATGTTTTCAAGAAGAAAAATAAAAATGGGAGAACATATATTGAATAAATGAAAAAATAAAGGAATGCATGTCGTGTTTATGTTTCTCCGAGATTGCGACATCACAAGAAAGAAAAATAAATGTTTGTATACGGCGATATAGTGTTGGAGATTGCGACAACACTGCGTAGGAACGATCCTTTTCCGAAGACAAATCGTTGGAGAGTTGGTGTTGAAGAAAAAGATACTTATTTGATACTTGTTTATGTTTATGATACTTGTTTATGTTTATGCTTATGTTTCACCAACGCTACAGTGATGAATAAATAAAGCAGATTTTATGTCAGGCGATACAGTGATGGAGATTGCGACAACACTGTAGGAATGATCCTTTTCCGAAGACAAATCGTTGGAGAGTTGGTGTTGAAGAAAATGATGCTTGTTTATGTTTATGCTTATATTTCTCTAACGCTACAGTGATGAATAAATAAAGCAGATTTTTTTATGTCCAGCGATAGTGTCGGAGATTGCGACAACGCTGTGTAGTAGGAATATCTTTTGCCGAAGATAGATTGTTGAAGATTGTTGGTGTTGGAGAAAAAGATACATGTTTAGTGTGCTTATGTTTCTTCAACGGTGTATCTGTTGGTGATGCATCCTTTTCCGAAGACAGATTGTTGAAGACTGTTGGTGTTGGAGAAAAAGATACATGTTTATGTTTATGCTTATGTTTCTCCTACGCTAAAGTCGATTCTGTGGTGTCCAGCGATACAGTGTTGGAGATTGCGACAACGCTGTGTAGTAGGAATATCTTTTGCCGAAGATAGATTGTTGAAGATTGTTGGAGTTGGAGAAAAAGATACTTGTTTAGTGTGCTTATAAATACGATTCTGCGGTATCATTTGCATGTATTTCTTTCTGTTACTAATTATGTACGTATTTGTTGTGGTGTATGTGTATATGTAGATGTTTTTGATTATGTTTTTATGTGTGTTTGACGATTTGTAACAAAAATGACCGTGTAGACAATGTAGACAATTCATATCTTGTGCCGTAATAAACAATTCACTTAAAAAAAAAGAGAAATAACCAAAAAAAGAAGAAAAAAAAAAGAAATAACTTAAAGTTTAAAAACTATATAAACAATTTACTTATTTAGTTATTTATTTTTATTTATTTATTTATTATTATTATTATTATTATTATTATTATTTTTTTAATTAGTCCGGACATACCACCAACACTGCCCAACAACCGGCAATTAATCGCCAGTTTTTATTTAGCACATCAGCGCGCGCGAATCATCGATGCACACACCGGCCGCCATCCGTTGTTCGGCGCCAGAGAGCAAAAGGCCGATCGCTTTTAACATGATTCTTAATCGCATTCCGATCCTCTTTAACTAGCCTATAAGATGCTTAAAAAATAAATAAATAAAAAAATAAAAGTGGTTTAGAATTTGTGTTAATCTGCCGGTCTGGTGCGTCACAGAGGTAGTCTATGCAATGATGGTTCAGATTTCGCAAATTTTTGATATTTGATAAAGTTTGAACGGAGGGAAGTAAGAAAGATTTTTTTTTTCTCTTTTTTTTAAGACTTTGAAAGTTGGTTGAGATTTTAAGGTATTTTAAAGGGAATTTAAAGCGACGTACTTTCCTAACTTCGCCACCGCTAGAACAGTTATCAAATTCAAAGTAATTTTTAGTTTCACTTAACCACAACATGAGCCTGTCTAACTGAAAATAACGTCAGAAATTATCATTATCTTGAAATTTTATGTAATGAAGTATGTATTCTAAATATTCCTAGTATGATATGACTAAGATGACATATTTTAATTTATTTTCAACAGCCTGTAATGTAAACAAAATCGTCTGGAATAATACACTTCAACAAAGAAAAAGAAAAAAAGAAAAAAATATAATGATGAATATATAAAGAAATAAATGAAACGTCCATCTTTGTAAACCAAAGTAACCCACAGATGATAAACCATAAAACAAATCCCCATTTTATAAGCTAAGTAATCCTATCACAATCACTCTTACGACTATATCAAAAAGCTATATATAGAAAAAAAATATATGAATGAGAATGAATATATTTACAATTCAAGCGAAGTATTTAAGCGATTCCGAATATATCTTCATCGGAAATATATTTATGCGTTAGTTTAAGTTCAAGATAAAATGGCATCTTAGTAATATCGTATTAAGAATATTAAGTAGCTTAGAATATAAGTAAGATTTAAAGATGATAGTTATTTCTAAGGCAATGTTGATATGATGAAGATGAATGAAGATATATTCAGTTAAAGGGGAGGGAGTTAGCTGTTAATTTCTTGTTAATTTCTTGTATTTTGATGATATTCATCCTCATTCACTTTCTACATTTATCAACAAGAAAATTAATTGTTAATTTCTTGTTAATTTCTTGTTAATTCTCATCCTCATTCACTTGTTAATTTCTTGTTAATTTCTTGTATTTTGATGATATTCATCCTCATTCACTTTCTACATTTATCAACAAGAAAATTAATTGTTAATTTCTTGTTAATTTCTTGTTCATTTCTTGTATTTTGAAAATCTTCAACCTCATTCACTTTCTACATTCATCAAAAAGAAAAAAAAACACTTCTAAATTTCAAACCCAGTTATATAAACAAAATTTCAAACGAGATGATCCTGTTCAACAACAAAGACCACTTGAACGACAGCTGTTCTATAACGGAGACCTTGATATAAAGGGGAATCTTGCCGGACGCGAGATATCATGCGCATCTCGCTCCTATCTTGTTTACAACGAAAGTCCCTTGTTGTTTTACACTTTACTTCTCAGTTAGTTAAGTGTATGTTTTTTTTTTTTTTTTTTCTTTTTTTTTTTTTTTATGGATTTCTATCTATTTTGTGTATGT